TTTGATTTCTTTCTTCTCATCTTCGGCCCACCTAAAGAATTTGCATGATCTGTTTGGGAATTTGGCACAACCCCAAAAAAATCTCCCCTTGTTTGCACCACCTTTGCACTGCTTCAATGGAGTTGGTATATTGCAAAAGCATTTTATGTCAGTAGATTTGTGCGTACCTCTTTGGGCAGTTGCCATGGCTAAGCACTATCAATTTCAGAAGGCTCTTGGGTAATTGAATTTTGATGAAGCCCCAATGTCTTGAAGAGGCTCTAGCTTTGCTGCAACTGTAAAAGACTCACCCAAGTGCACTTTATGTAGAGGGGTTTTTTACCTGACCGTTGCCAGATCTTTACTTGCCATTTGTTTTAAAAATATGACCGTTGGTCTGTTTATCCGTTGGGATTTTTGCGGTGAAGTTTGTACTCCTTGCTGTGGGCGGTAAGCTCACCATGGTAATCACATGCAACTCTTCTTGTGTTGCATATCAAACATTGGAAATGGAAAATTAAAGAGTGAGGTGGTTTCTTGTTTTTAAATAATGAAACAAACTTGTGGAAACAAAGAAATACATTTCAAGGGGTTGATTTCACTGTGAAACAAACAGAAAAAAAGAAAACTGGGAAACATACTGGAAATGTCTTGAAATCATTTCATTTCTTTATTTCTGTTTTCTTTTTTTTTTCGGAAATGTACCAAACAGGCCCTAAAGTGAAAGTTGCAATAATGTTTTTTTAGAAATCTCCCTTTGACGTTTGGTCATTTTGCAGATATCTTTCCTAACTATTTTAATTCCACAAGATTCCCAAACTTTAAGATCTTCTGCGTGTAAACTTTTGAACTTTTTATTTATTCCGCCAAAACATTGGAAGATTTTTCCTTTCTAACACTATCAAGTTTAACGTTTCTCATGACAAACACGTGTTTTGAAGAGGTAAAAATACTCCCAACACTAGAAAATATTAATCAAAAAAAAAAAAGATAAAAAAAATGACTTTATAGGCATGAGGGTAGTTTCGTCTTTTTTTTTCTTTTTTGACACGGCAAGGCACATGACATGTTGAACTTCATGATGTTCTTTTGGGGTGGTTTGCAGTGAAAATATTAAACGAGCGTCTTGTTTAGTTGGTCAAAAAACCACCCTATAGGAAACCTATTTCTTATAAATTGTTCATTTCTTTTGTTTAATTTCCACTTTGAAATCAAGAGGGAGGGTAAGGTGACACCCTCCCATCAGCTGGTTTGACTCTATTTCTACGAAACTGTTTTGAATGTTTTTGTAAGGAAATCAAATGGAAAATTATTTAGGCAGTTTCTTTGTGAGATTCTTACAAGTTACAAGAATAAAAGGTTTAGGGGGTTGCGTGCAAAACTCCTCAAAATTCAAGGTGTTTGTGGAATGAAAACAGTTAAAGTGGTTATCTGCAAAACCTCCAAAGGTTTTCTGGATGAATTTCATATTAGTGCTCATTATTTGCTTATTAATCCCTTAAATCTTCAGTTTTCTTGCTATATGGTCTTTCTGTTAAAAAAACTGTTAACTTCTCTAAATTTAGTTGAGTTAATACTTAACCTAATAACTCAAGTTACTTTATTGCCCCTGGAGTATACATTTCCCTCCCAAGTTTTGGATTTAGAGAGAAGTTAGCTATGAGAATGACCTCAATTTTGGGTTTGGCTGAAGCAAGGGACCATTGGAGAAGAAAGAAAGTAGGTTTGAGTTAGTTTAGGTGGGGGTATAAAGGGTATTCTACCTAATTCCATCACATTTCATAGTCATTAATAACACCACCTAACATGATGGATAGATTGGGAAGAAAACTGAACATTTAAGGACTAATAAGCAAATAATAAGATTTGAGGGACTATTTGCTAATTAAAGATGATTTAAGGGACCAATATACAATTAACCCTAGTTTTTTCCTTAAATTAACTCCTCTATAAGGGCGTGTTCGGCAATCGAAAGTAAATGAAAAATGCACCGAAAAATGAAAAGTGGCTCCACTTTTCATTTTTATCATGTTTGGAATTAGACAAATGAATGAAAAGTGATTTGAAAGTGAAGGAATGACACATTAGCACTTTAGCACATTTTACTTTCTCAAAAATTGGAGAAAGCCGATGAAAAGTGAAGAGAGAGGAGAGAGGAAAAAAATTAGATTTTTTATGTATCATTTTAGTTATATTTGTCCAATTTCTACCATTACTTTTCATGATAACTAAACAAAATAAAAAAAAAGTAAGTGTCACATCATTTACCACCTCAACTTTCTCTATTTTTACTCTCTAACACCCAAATAAGTCATTATAAAATAGAAAGTAATTAGCAAGTATCTTCGCGAGAAAGAACTTTCTCTTTTTTTCATGTTCTATTTATTTTCCGCTTGCCAAACATGCCCTAAATTTCTGTAAAAAGATAGAAAGTTGTCTTCTTTCCTTTAAGTCCTTTCCAAAATCCTTTTCAGATTTTGATCAAACTGCTGAATCGAAGTCACTATTTGATACGGATTTCTGCTTCAGTTATGATGGATTCTTCAAAGTTGCCTCCTTTTTATACTTCCAATTACTGAATCCACTATTTCAACGTCGAGGTAAATAGAAATCTGAGGAGCCTCTAAACTTTTTTATTATTATTGTAATGCATGTATAAGGTTAATGCATAACGTTTTTTTATTACAGTAGTTTTCCTCAAAATATTTGCGTAGTTTATCCCTACCTTGCTTTCTTATCTTTGTTCCATTACAATTTCTTTTATTTGTTCTCTCATTTTGGGTAATCTTGTTCTTTAGTAGTGATTTGGGTTTGATTGCTATATTCAGTTTACACGCTCGCAGAAAATTACATACATAAGAAAGCATGCATATTTGATGAAATCACATCATAGGCTTCATGCTTAACTGAATTTTTTCTGCTGTAAGCTTTGTTATTTACTATGATGGGAATTTTGGAAATAAATAAATCACTAATGCATAGCCTTGGCGGATTCTCATTCGTGTGCTTAGTATGGAAATTCAGGTGACTGTGTATTGATTTTTGTTACTTATAAGACCGATTTAATTCAGTATGGTTGGCACTCTTACAATGTATGGAGTAATGATTTCAAGATGAGAAAAATTAAAAAAGAAAAAAGAAAAGTATATTGATGTCTCAAGCTATAGGAGTGTATTGAGGGAAATGTAGCTTTCATCTGCATAGATATGCTTAAGGTTAGTCGTTGCATTGATTTGGCACACAACACTTTAAAGATTTCACTATAGTCTATTTTCGTAAACACTATAGTAATTAGCATTGATTTGGTATGCAACACTTTAGGAGTTCAAATATTTTCTAGAATTGTTAATGATATCTAATTCGAAAGATGTGTTCACAAGAATATAATTCATTTTAGACCACCATCTCATCATAAGGGGGCAGTGGCAAAAATGTCTATCTTTTATGATCTTCTCTGTTTTCTCGTCTTGTAGAAAGGGCAAAAATAGAAATGGAGGTTAGTAATCATCTTATAGAAAGGAAAGGAAGCAGGAGGTTACTAAAAAAAGAGGAAGATGATGATGATAATGGTGATGATGAATGCTCTAATAAAAGGAAGACCGGTATCCTATTTCAAACTCATCTTCGTACGTATTTCTCTTCTATATTGTTAATTATATGCTGATTGTATCGCTAACTTATACCTGTTCACCTGTTTTATATGTCAGTGCACAAATGGATATGTAACATGTTCTTTGTCTCTTGAATGGGTAACTCGGCCCTCAGCATTAGTTGCCTCATACCTGTTCACTTTTTATTTGTTATATTAATCTATATTCTGTATGTTTTGCATAAAAGACACAGTAGGATAGCTGGCTTATTTGCTTATAAAAATTGATGTAATTTAGTTTTTTTTAAACACAAAGACGTGTTAGGATACCTAAACTACTAAAAATAAGTTTGGTCTACAACGTCACATTGTCTTTTACCTAGATTGGACGGTGGAAACTTGTAACATCTTGTTTTCAACTGAATTTTTTTCTGAAGATGTTCGATTTGAGACCCGTACCAATATGACTAAGTGAAATTCCTCTGAGATATAACGACAACAAGGGGTGAATCCACTTTTGTTTGACTAATCGCCTTTCTAATAGAACCAAAATCTAACAAAATTATAATCCTACAAGAGGGTTCCATTGAGCTGACGCAAAGTGTACGTAGTTCTCGAAATTCACAACAAAAGATAATTAAACCAAATAACATAAAAGAATAGTTAGAGCAAGTCCAGCAAGCTCCGAACTATGCTCTGAAGGCTGATGTGGCGATGGTTCTTGCCAAACCCCCCTCCAGCAAGCTCTGAAGCCGCTCCCAACTAGCTCTCCGTTCCTACGTGGATGTCGAATCCTTCAGAGCTCCCAAGCGCTCCACAAATTTGTGGAGCGCTTGGGAGCTCCCAACTGGGGTGACATTTTACAAAACCCCCCCCACAAGAAAATCATACCAAATCAGGAACCAGTCGGAGGTCGTGGTCGTCGTGGCTGACTGTCGAAGGGGTTGGGGTTGGGGTCGTCGTGGCTGACTGTCGAAGAGGATTTGGGGTTGGGGACCAGACCTTGATGTCGTCGGAGCCGAAGAGGAACGCGAGGCGAAGAGGAGGTCGTGGTTGTCGTGGCTGACTGTCGAAGGGGTGGCTGGCGAAGAGGCCTCCGACTGTCGAAGGGGTGGCTGGGGTGCCTCCGACTGTCGAAGGGGTGGGGTTGGTCTCCGACCGTTTGAGGTTGTCCAAGGGGTGGGATTTGGGTATCGGATTTGGGGGAGAAGATGAAGAGTTCTTTGTTTTTTTTTATCTGGGTGCGCTGTTTGAGGTTGGGATTTGGGAGAAGATGTAGTGTTTTTTTTTGGGTGCGTTGTTTGAGGTTGGGATTTGGTGTTTTGATTTGGGATTTTTTTTTAATTGCCTGAGTTGTGAATTTTACCGTTGTGATTTTTACCTCTTGAGTTGGAAATTTTACCGTTGTATGAAACACGGACACAAGCTCCTCTCCAGAATTCAGCCGTTAAAAATGAAGCCGTTGAAAAAGTTACCGTTGTAAAAAATCTTCTATAAATTCGTTTTACTTCAATACACAAATCATTCCACACAACTCTCTCATAAAAAAAAATCTATATTTCCCTATCAAATTACAAATCTTATGGATCCCTCACAAAACTATTATTCGCACCTCCTTGCCGGTGAAGGATCGACCTTATACCCGCCGTTCTATACAGAAGTCGTAGAAGAAGGTAACCCTATCGAGTTATCGCAATCTGCAACACAACAAGTGTCATCCCAAGAAACACCGACCACAAAGAAGAAGAAGGCTTATACGCGGTCCGAAAATTGGACTGTCCACGAGGATAAGCTTCTTGTGTCTGCTTGGCTGAACACGAGCCAAGACGCCATCCAAGGTACGGGGCAACACAAAGATAAGTTTTGGCACCGAGCTAACGACTATTTTATCCTATACTCCACCGATCCAACGAGCCGCACGCCAAACCAAATGATGCATCGTTGGTCAACGATTCAATTGTCTGTCAACAAATTTTGTGGGTGCGTTGCTCAGATTGAAGGAAGACAAAGATCTGGTACGGGAATTATTGACCAGGTAAATATTTAATTATGTTTGATTATTTTTGCTCAGATTCAATATGTTTAATTATGTTTGATTATTCTAAAATTAACTCTTGTGTAGACTGCAGAAGTAAAAGAATTATACCAATCTCTTTATGGTAAACCATTCGTGTTTGACCATTGCTGGGTTGAGTTGCGTCATCATCAAAAGTGGATCCAACAAATGGAATCTTACAATAAGATTCGATCACAGCCGAGAAGAATCGCTACCTCTGATTCCTCACCAAACAATTCCATGCCAACGACCCCCATCGGGTTGAACATTGACTCGGATGATGTGGTAGTAAGGCCTGAAGGGAGGAAAGCGGCAAAGCTCAAGAGGAAACAAAATGTGGAAAACTTCGATCCCAGCCGAGAAGAATCGCTACCTCTGATTCCTCACCAAACAATTCCATGCCAACGACCCCCATCGGGTTGAACACTGACTCGGATGATGTGGTGGCAAGGCCTGAAGGGAGGAAAGCGGCAAAGCTCAAGAGGAAACAAAATGTGGAAAGCTCTGGATCCGCTACGTCCATCATGGGAGAGGCTTTCGCGTGGATGAAGCAAACCACCAATCAAAAAATGGATCTAAAACAGAAGAAACAAGATGACGATATCATGAAGATGGATCTCTCAACACTCAATTCAGTTCAACGACAATACTTTGAAATGCGTCAGGCAGAGATATTGGAGAGGTGGATGTCCAAGGATTCTTCCTAATTATCATATATTATCTTGTATTAGATTTATGATTGTACTCGCATCGCATCCTAATTAGTTCTTCCTAATTATCTTGTATTAGATTTATGATTCTACTTGAAGTTGAAAAATTTGGCATTTAATGAAAACAACTACTTCATTGAAAAGAAAATTGGCGTAGTACAACAACTCGAACTTCTTTGCTGAAATCACATTAGACATAAATAAACATAATCCTCGACGATGGATCCCTTGAGCTACCACAGATGCTCGATCAAATCATTTTTTAATGATTTATGTGTTTACGTGTTCCTAATCCGATGATGATTTTGGATGAACTCAGTTAACGATCACAAAAGTGATTTGTGTGTTTGCGTGTTCCTGATCCTAATGATCTTGGAATGTTTGTTGTATCACAAGTCACGATTTCGTAGCCGCTTGTTACTACTGCATACTATCTTGAATTGTTTATGGCAGTTTTTTGCCAAAAGCCCCCAAGTTCATGGTCATTTTCTAAAAATTTCCCTTATTTATTTATACTAGTGTAATGCACGTGCTTTGCATGTGAATGTAGATATTTTAAGTTTTTAATTTTTTATTAAATAGTTAAACTATGTGCTAATAAATAAAATTGCATAATTAGATTACGTAAAAAGAAATATATGAATTAATTATTATTGTGTAGTTATTATAATTGAATGTTTTTATTATAAAAATTCGCCTAGTACTATCTTTTTTTAAATAAGTCCCCTAAAATTGACATTATTTTTAAATAAAACTGTTAATTCTATAAGTTTTCTTAAATATGCCCTTCCAATTTGAAAGTTGTTAACTTAATTTTGAACTAATTGCTGCATTAATCTTGCTAGCTTTTTCCTGATGTTCCTTACATAGCTACACTTAATATCTGCAACATATTGTAATAGTTACTTCTTATTATAATTATTTAATAGGGTAAATTGCACTAAACCTTTATGAACTTTCAGCCTCTATGAATTTTCAAAATCACACTAAACCCCTAATGACTAATTTGTTTCAAAGAAAATCCCCAATAACTTTTTGAATTTTGTAGATAACCCCTAAGAGTTAGAACCAAAAAATGGCATAATACAGCATTTTGAAAGTTATTGGGAGGTTGGTGTAATTTACCTAAAAGATATTAGGGGCTTTCTACAAAAGTTATTAGGGGTTTAGTGTGATTTTGAAATTTCATGGGGCCTATTTACTGCAAAATGATGAAGGTTCATGGTGGTTTATTATAATTTACCTTATTTAACATTATAATTCTTAGTTCAAGTAATACTATTAAGATAATTATACTATCTTTATACTATAAATATTTGTCTGATTTAATTTTTTAATTATGTACTTGTTGATGTCTGATATCACACAATCAGTTGAAGTCGCAGAGTTGCTGGATCGTCGAGAAGTTGAATTGTCGAGAGGGGGCTGCTTTCCTTCTTTGACTTTATGCCTGGTTCCCAGAGCTCGGGGTGGGCAAATCACCTGCACACACAAGAATCATGGGAGTACAAGGGTTGTTTCCCCCGTGGTACCTCTGATGGTCAAGTCAGCTGGCGGACTTGGGTGAGGTGAAGGAGAAACGGAGTGCTCTTCTAACATGTGCCTAGAGAGTTTTCAGGTAGTAAGAAAATATAACCTTTTTTCATGACGAATGGCGTATGTATTTATAGAGGATGCTAAGAGCAGAATAGGCATTTAGTGAGAATGCGGCTTATGATGATGGCAGGGGGTGAGCTGAAGTCTGAGTCACCCTCTACCTGATACGTGTCGATTAGTGAGG